CTGCAGGCTGACCAGATGATTTAGTTTAGTGATCAGATGAGTTATATACTTTAAGCCTACATACGAATATTATAATATTCGGTTGCGTGAGCTTAAGCTTCTGTCACCATCATTTGGCATTGTTGTCTTCAGCCATCTCTTGATCTCTTCGACTACTTCATGAAAATTGTAATACGCCTCGTCAGTGGTGAATTTAAAGGTGAAGAAAGGAGCTCATATAATTTGCGAAAACAGGTCTCAACTGTGTTAAACCCACTCCACGCCTTCTCCCCTCCCTCTCTACGACTTACGCCACTGGGAGGAGCTGAGTTAGGGAGGGGGGATATTTAAACTAGGCTGTGCTGCTCACCAAAATAAAGTGTGCGTGGGCATGCCTTGTCAGCATGGGGGACCTGACTTACGCTACGCCCCCGGCAAGGCACGAAAATAGAGCCCAGTGTGTAGATACACAGATACAAAGTTTAAATGTGTTAAGAATTATTTACAAAATGCCGTCAATCAAATTTCGCTATCATTGCCCATGTTCTTTTTGTTACATGAAATAAAACAGTGCTGACTGAAGACAAAAGTGATAAACAAAGTGATTAAACAAAATCGATCCAAAGCAAAATGACACTGGAGGATTTGAAAGAAAGTCACTTTGTCTTCAAACTTTGGGGAAGAGAAATAAATAAAATGAACAAAGTCAGTTTTAGTCACTGCACTCTTTTGAATGTGAGGAGGTGTTCATTCATTTTTTTAAGATAAGAAGAACTTTAAGAACTAGGTGTGGATGCAGTTTAGCAGCAAACTTTCACTTTAGGTCATAATTTTCTGATAAATATTTTGCATTTTAAAGCAGCTTGTGGTTGGTTTGTACTTGTGAATGTTGATACAGCTATGGAAAGTCTAAAACCACTGAACCACTGCACTGAGCTGAGTTTTAGGCTGCACCTGTAACCACAGTCCAAATGCAGACAGTGTGAACATGTCAATCTGACTCCAAGCTTATGATGGTCTCATTAATTTGATTCTGAGTACAATGCCAATGATGAAACATCATGTGGACATTTTGATCTGACAGCTGTATTTACAGGGTTACAGAGAACTGTTTGCAGCACTGACATACAGTATGTGCCATAGACTGCCCTCAAATCCACTTTATACCACGTCATACCATGCAGATATGACAGTCCATTAAATTTAATGCAAGTCCTGAGTTTTTAGATCAATTTAAAGCTCCTGTGTGAAATCTATGGAATCTGAGGATATAAAAATCTTCTGTCCTGTCACTGATTTGTTTGCTTTTGAAAATCATAAGAGGCGTCAGCAAAAATTTATATTTCATACATTTCAAAAAAATCCTCACAAGACCTTTGAAAGTGCTTTTAGCAAAATATATTTTGAATTACTGCAAGGAGATTTTAGTTTGTTATAAAGCAGATTTTAATTATTACTGTTGCCCCTATAAAAGCAAAACAGACCATCCCCCCTGACTGTCAGATATTTTTAATGTTAGAAATCAAAACCAGGGGTTAGATGCCAGTCACAGGGATGATTAAGACACTGCTGAAATAAGCTTTTTTTTTTTTTTTTTTTTTTTTTTTCTTACAGTTTCCTATCGAGATGCTACTAAAGCTTCTTTTTTTTTTTTTTTTTTGCTTTGTGTTGATTTTGTCGCCCCCTGTTGACAAAAATGTACCTCTGATCTCTTTGCAGTCTCTTTCTTTACTTTTGGGGATAATGTTTTTTGAATAAGTCTCCCTGTGTCGTCTTTTAACAGCCAGTTGTATCACTTTGTGTGATACATGTTAAGTGTAAGTTGTTTCTGTCATGGGTTAAATTGTCCTTTACCTAACAGGAGGCACCTATTACAAGCATGAAAATAAACTGTACAAAAATACTCACTCTTGTTGCTGATGGTTTGGTTTGCTTTTGTAGGTCACTTAGTGGCAACAGTATCAGCCTGCCTCATCGGCAGCCAAAAAAAACGCTTACAGGAGCTTTAAATATGGCACAACTACATTTCCACAGTTTGTTTTATCAGATGATTTGATCTTAGGGGTGAGGTCTACGAAGACAGTTCCGATGGTATAATACAACTCACCAAATGTACTGTTCTGTTAAATGCTTTGATTAATTTAATTATAGTATCGAAGGATGGCTCTGATCTGAAATAGTCTGTGTCACGGTTATAGTGGCTCAGTTATTTGATCACCTGAGTTTATGTGTCAGAAGCAACTGAAGAGTTTTTTTTTTTTTTTTTGTCTGTTTGTTTTTTTTTTTTGTAGATTGCAGGCTTAATGGTGTTAAAGTTGTAAGCATACATGATCCAATAAGAAGGCACTCTGAAGGGTTTTTAACCAATACTTACCTTATATCGATGCCTCTTCAGTAACTAAGATGATCAAATGGACAGGTTATTTTTCTTTAAACTGAATTTTAGTGATGTGTTTTATCATTTTTGTATTTCAGTTACCGTTGTGTAGCTTCAAATCACTTCATTAACTCATCACTCTGCCCCCAGGAAAGCAGAAAAGTATTATTTTAAAGTATTTATTTAATTCATTTGCCTCCACAACAACTACATGCTTCAGCAAGTGTCTCATATTTACAACTGTTGGTGTTGGGGCTCATGGGAAACGCAGTTTTCACAAACAGTTTTATCCAGAATTAACACAACTTTAAGGTTAGTCTAATTAATGCATATTAAAACTTCCACAGTCAAGCTATATAGTACACATAAAAGCAACAGTAGCTTGACAGCAGTGCTTTTACAGTCCATGTGAAATGAAATGCACAAAAACTGCAGCAGACAGTGAGATCTCTTTACATCCACTTTGGACATTTCTAATATTTAGTAATGTGCTGTTATTGTTTTTGCACCTTTGGCTGTATGTTTTTTAGAAGTCTGCATATATTTTGTAGTTTTTTTGCATCTCAAAATATAGAGTATTCCGCCTGTTTTATTATGGTGTTAACATATTTTGATGTATCCTTTTTGGTCTTCCAATATTAGCAAACAAATTATTACTATATCCAAAATCCTATTTGATTTTTAGAAAGATAGATTGTCCTACTGTCTTACCACCCTTAACCTTTTAGCAGTTTTTGATCTTCCTAAAACCATGTAGGCTGTGCTCGTCTTTCTTCATTTCTGAGTAAATAATTCTTTCTTTCCTAGAAAACTGTCAGCTTGATTTTTCTCTGATGCAGTTTAATATGGCTGCCTGTGATGGCTGATGCCTGTGATGTTTTTTTTAAAGCTGCGTCTCTGTTTTTAGGGCCCCTTTCTCTTTTGTCTTTGTGTCTGTGAAATTAGAGGAGGAGGACTGATGCTGAAATGTTTGGAAATCACAAAAAAAAAGGAGACCTACATTTTATCTTTGTTAGAAAAGTTCAGTTAGTTCAACTGCATTAAATAAAATACAGTTTCCAGATTTTTTTTAAAGCATATCTAGTATGGGGGTTTTTTATATACTATTATATAATAATATAATATTTATATAATATTTACAGCATTCGAAACAATGTTATTACATTTTAGTAAGCAGTCGTGTCATAGTTTGACATTTTTGGCATTTTTTTATGTTTTCCAGTGGATGTGTTTCATCTTTAATTAGTTTGATTTTTATTGACAGCTATTATCAAAATTGTAATGAGTCATTAGTAAAAATGATCTGATACAAATACTGTTTTTTTCACCAACAAGATCATTCTCAGTAGATCTTGTGCCTTAAATTCTTCTGGAAAGAGTCAAACCCAAAGCTGAGGACATCATTCAGCATACAGAACATCTTTTTTATACTAAGTTTGAGCTCAAATTCAGAAGCAGAAGATATAAACTCCCAAGGCTCAGATCCAAAAGGCTAAGGGATGTTTTTACCTGGTTGCAAAGCAAATTCTGAGGTGCAAATATGTAGTCTTTTTTTTTTTTAATGGATTATTTTGATGAATCTTATCTTGGATTGTTTTTGTTTGTTTGTTTGTTTTTATTATTTATTTATTTTTTAGATCATTCTACTCAGTAATTCTATAAGCATTACTGTGAAGTTACAGTATGCAGTTGTACTTTTATTGTAAATTACTGTGAATACATTTACAGTAATTTATTTTTGAAATATGCACAGTTGAGTATTATGAAATATTTACAGTAAATTTCTGTGAAATATTACAGTAGATTACTGTGAGATTACTGTGAATGTAATGCAACTAGTACACAGTAACTTACTGTTAAATTACAAACAAAAAATTACAATTTAAGCATTTGTTAGGAAGATATTTATGATAACCTAAATTGGTTCAGTGAATGCAAATATATGGTTCAATGAGGTTAAAATATACAAAAAAAGTTCCCACTGTTGAACAGAAAAAATAAAGATCATATGGGTTACCTGCTGGTAAACTGTTGTTAGTAAAATGATAATCACGAATATGTACTAAAAAAAAAAAAAAAAAAAAAGGAAGGCCTAGTAACAGCATCTGTGAATTCTTGCGATCTGTTATTTGATGCAGTTTTTGATCATTTTAAGTAGCGTGCATGTGTTTTGCTCAATCAATAAAAAAATCATGATTTTTTTAAACTTTTGTGTATTGTAAGAAAAATAAGATGATTCATTGCACTGGTTACTCCATATTATATCATAACTTTTAAATAGTTTCCATGTTTATCTGCCCCTGTTCCTCTACCAAATTACGTGTTTTACTTTGAAGTGTTCAAACACTTCAAACTACTCAGCTTACTCTTAGCGTCAAAAACACTGACATTTTCCGAAGAAGCACTCAGCGTGTAAAACTTGAAATAATCTGCAGCCATCAGTTTTATCTCAAGAAATCTGTAGAGTCTTGCTGCTGCATGTTTGCGGCACTTCCTCTGCATACTGACTCCACTGATGCTCGTTTGTCATCTAAGTAAATTTCGGTGCAGTAGTAAAATATTCTGCCTCTAGTAAAATCCTTCTTTTTTTTTTACAGGTCAAGAGCTAGATTTGAGACAATTTTGAGAAAATGAAACCACCACAGTTCTAGTTAAAGTACTCCAGATTATCTTTTTAATGATGTTTTTGGTAAAGTATCTTGTGAGTTTTACAGCCCACTCTACGCATGTAACAGATCATGTCTTTTTTTTTTTTTTTTTTTCAGTAGGTCACATCCTCCTCAGTATAAAGCTGAGTTTATCATTAAGGTGCCTCACTCTCTAGTCATGCGCTGTGGTCATGATGTGGTTACTGCTTCTCCTCTTCACGGCTCTCATTGAGCCGGGCAACCCGCAAGGCAAGTAACCCCCAGATTTTCTACTCATTCAACAGTAAGGGGAAGTTTGAGTTCAGATTTTTTTTATTTTTTAATCAGAGATGTTGCTGTTTTAGGAGATTAGCAAACACAGGTGTTGCAGATTATTGCATCTGTTTTGTATCAAGTGATACTTTTGTCATTTTCTTCAATTTAAATCTTCGCTGATGGATAAACTGAAGGGAGTTGTTGCCATGTAACTGCAGCAACACAGAAAAAAACAAGATCCAGTTTTTTAGTTTACCCGTATTACTCATAAAAGGTGAAGGAGAAATTTGCAGGTATGTCTTTAATCGTGAATGGATGCCTGTATCCATGGTAACAAATAAGGACCTCTTCTGAGTCCTCACCTGGACCTCGCAAAGAGATACACTTTAACAGTGATTATCAAAGTCTTAAAATACATTTGAATACATTCTCCACTTTCTCTGTGACAACATTTCCTCATTGTTAAGACTTCATTTAGGCTAAAATTTACGAACAGTGCAAGCATAAATCTGTGTGGCATTTCTTTACTCACTCAGCAAAAGGCTTTCTCCTCACTGCTCTGCTATTTCATCAGTTTATTCTTGTTTTATTGGGTTTTTTTTTTTAATGGTTTGTGTTTCCATTGTTTTAACCGCTTGCATTTTCCCATCTGCTTGTAAAACACCTTGTTACTACGATTTTAATTGGTGCCCTATAAATAGAGTAACTATTTTTATGACATGCTGGAAAACTAATTTAATTGGTGATATTTTAAAAAACTATAATACTAGATTCATTTTTTGGTTAAAAACATCTCATGGTATGTCTAAAATGTTTTTACAGTATATTAAACTCAGGAGTTGCAATGACTGTCAAGGTTGTCTGTTTCAAATTGTTCTTGAGTTATTCTGTGCCTGTCTCATGAGGTTTCTCGTGATGTGACCTGTTGCTAAAAAATGTGTTTTCTGCTTCAAGTATCTGCTGTAAGATTGTAAATGAAACTGAGCTGACTCCATCATATTTACTGTTGAAATGTTGATGAATATGTATTGTCCTAAGTAGATGAGCTTAGTAAACTTTACAATGATGGGGCTTTTGAAGAGACTGGTTGGCAGCGTAGGAAATGAGGAGGAGAAAGTGGGGCTTGTAGTGTGACGAGTGGTCAGCATGTTAGAATCAAACCCGGTCTGGCCGCTTCAAAGACTATAGCCACCACCGCACACGTGTGCATGGCTCATCCGTTCCCTCTCAATCTATTCCCAAATTTGGCCTCCAAGCAAAATTCCATAGTTTTGTAAAAAGTGTCTCTTGTTTTTATTTTTATTTTTTGCCTTTTGATAAAGTTTAATTTTTGAGCTTTAATGCCTTTATTGAGCAGACCGAGGAGTAGATAGAGTAAAAAAACATTGATGAATTTTCACAGAGTGGGATCAAACCCTAGCTTAAGACTCTATTGAAATGTGTTTAATAATTATTAATAAAAAACAGAATAAAAAATTCAACACTAAGTAAACAAACACAAGTTTTGCATGTTGTTGATACAGGCGTGCCAGAAAATAAATGCATGTTTTGCTTTTACTTGTCCAAATGGAGAGGAGTCCTCAGGATGTTTTTTTTACTACTTTTTTCACCACTGTTTCTAGTTAACCCATAACTTAGATTTTCAAAAGATCACAGCAACCACCCCCAACTCAAAGCTGTTTGGTCTTGGAGGTCCAAAAAACCCCTTTTCTGCATCTGGCTTGATTATGTAAACCCAGAAGTTAAGTTGTAACCACAGCATTATTAGTTCTACAATGACAAACTTTGGTGAAGAGTCCAGGACTCTTGAACATAAGTGAAAATAGTCAAATAAAATGAGTGGTAATAAAAAAAAAAAAAAGTGAAAGAGTAAATAAAGATACTAGTGCTTGCTGCCTCCAGAAGTTGAAATTATTACAGAAATACAGAAAGACAATAAGATGAACGCCAGCTGGATAAAATCGCCTGAGTAATCATTACGTTACACAGCCTCACTGATACGAACCCTGCCCTTCTGAGGTCAAAATCTGCCACTGTTTGATTTTTTTCTTTTTTTTAAAAACACTCATATAAACTGTTAAAATAGAAAAACCGTCTAAATTAAGTAACTATAGTACCATCCTTTTTGTGCATTGAACTTAAAATAGTTATTTTTGACAAAGTTGTGCATTTCTATTAACTTTATATTTAACTTCTATTTTGTTTATAGCCATATGTCAAAGGTTTGGGCATACCTATGAAAATATGTGGTGTAAAATATCTGAAGAGCTGGTCTTCGCTCTTGACCCAGAAAATATTTGTTACAATATTTGCTATAAAATTAAATAATTCTCACTGGGGAAAAAGGAGGGAATATTCTGATATGACTGAAATCTGTAGGGATAAAAAGGTTAATCCAACATACAGTGTGATTGTTCATTTACTTTTATTTATTTCTCGGTTATTTTAAATTGACATGATTGAATATGATGGCAAATTACACTAAAAGTTTTATCTTATTGAAAAAGTGTGGGCCATCCGACCAAGACAATACAAAGGTACAACCGGGGATTTCTTTGTTGGTGGCAACACATTAACATTCTCTAAAATACTTTGCCATGTAAAATAAAGATCTTTTGATTCCTGACAAATTATTCAGTGTGCAGTGGGATTTTTTTTTTCTATGATCCAGGTTTTCTCAAGAAATTAGGGCCAAATCAAACGTTTTCAAAAAGTTCCTGTATGTGATAAATACACAGAGCCCCTACCACCACACTTTAAAAGCTGCTTGTTTTCTTTTATTTTGACTCTAATGTTTCATATTAGGGAAAAAAAAACATGAATGGATAAATGAACAGAAAAGAAACAGTTTGCAAAGTGTTTTTAATCAGCCTCCTTTTGTGTGAGCAGAAAAAGTAAAACATCTGATTCTGACGGGTGGCAACCAGCCGTGTGAAGGCCATGTTCAAGTCTACTATGAGAACGTCTGGGGCTATGTGGGGGACACGGATTGGGACAAGCACACAGAGGAGGTGGTGTGCAGGAGCACCCACTGTGGCACACCCGTGAAGGACTCCAAAGATGATGTGTTTCGGCCCATTGACAGCAAAGTGTGGCTCAATGAAGTACGCTGCAGAGGAAACGAGAGCAACCTATGGGAGTGTAGAAATCCAGGCTGGGGCATCAGCCAGTACAGAGCGGACACAGTGAAAAGTGTTAAATGCTCACGTAAGGAGTAGTCTCTTTTTTTAGTTAGTTGTGTCAAGATAAAGATAAGATCTACTTTAAACACCTAAATTTTTTTTTACCCTTATATACAGAAGATATTTTTTTCTATCATTGGTTTTATTTAAATATGTATTCCTTGTTTTGTTCTTCTAGGAAATGTCAAGATAAAACTGGACGGGTACAAATGTGCAGGAGCTGTAACATTTGAAACAGACGAGAAGCCACGGGGCTATATCTGCAATGGCAACTGGAGTAAGGATTAGCGTCATGCATTCAGTACATCTCAAAAGATCATGTCTTTCTAAAAGCCAGCAGTGTGTGAGTAAAGATAATCATCAAACACATTGATGTAGTGTCATTTAGAGAGTGAGAAATGTGTTTTTCTTTAAATTTGTTGATGGCAACATCGACCCAGAAAGATTACCAAAAACTCAAATCTTACTCAGTGTTTCTTCCTTATTTCCAGTAAAAAGTGTTATATTAGGCTTAATTTGAGCAACATTACTGAATAAGTCCAGAAAAATTTATTCTTCAAGATATTACACGGCAATATAAATAACTAATATAACACAGAACAACAAACTAGCAAAGGTCATGAGGTTTTGTCTTTATTGAATGGCAAAAACAGATTTTCTTTTAAATAAAAAAAAAATATATATGATTTGTTTTTCTTAACTTGCATAAATCTTGTCTTAATCCAGCATCAGCCCTGACATTACTATGGGTATCAGTACTTAATGAGTAATTACATTAAAGACATAATGATGATTATTTGTATACTGTGTGTTTGATTCCTCCATCACTAAGGTGAAGATGAAGCCAACCTGCTGTGCCAAAATCTCAAGTGTGGTCAATCCAAAGAGATCCCCAAACACCCCTGGTTTGGGTGGAAGGATTTCCAAAAGTCAGAGAAGATGGGGATCAAGTGTTTCGACACTCCGAATTTAAAAAATCTGTGGCAGTGTGCAGGCCAGAAATCAGATTCGTGCCCTGGCCCTGCTTCAGTTATATGCACCGGTAACACACATACACTCTCTCTTACGCACTAACACACACAAATACATGCCAATGGTTTACTCTTGAGTTGTAACATATTGTTGAACAGGTTTCAGGAGAGTGCAGCTCAGAGGCAGTGGATCAAATGTGTGCTCTGGGCGTCTGGAAAGAGAGGAAAAAGGAAGCTGGATCCCAATGAAAAACAAACCAACCAAACCTGAAGTTTGGTGCGATCAAATGAAATGTGGTGCGTCTGGTGTCACGAGTGTTGATGGGGACAAAATAAATTTGACATGCTCAGGTAATTTAGAGATTTTTTTCTTTTCTTTTCTTTTTGTAATGATGTTGCAAAATGTCAAATGGGTTAGGTTAGTGCAGCTAACAATAGCAGAGCTAGTACCGCATGCCTAACACGATATAGACCTTTGCCTTAGTTATTACAGTTTGAAGCCTACAGCATTACAATGGTTCAAATCCTTTTGTAGCTTCCAAACCGGAGTGTGATATCAGAGGGAATTGGAAGCTCTATGAATGAAGTCCACTGTTGTGTCTAATAGAAAACAGCCATTTTCAATAGTAATTTATTTTTGCCTTGTACATGGTTTGCTAAAAATATTTGACTACTTTATTTGTTGCATCTTTAACATTTCTTTTATAACTCCCAGACAAAGTCAAAGTGGTGTTAAAGGATGGAAACAGCAAAAGCGAGTGTTATGGTGCTGTTCATTTTGAAGTGAACGGTACCACTCATCCTGTGTGTGCTGCCCACTGGACTGACAAAGAAGCTAAGATAGTTTGCCAGGAGACAAACTGCGGAAAGGTGAGTTTTCAGGGTCGGGTTTCAGTAACACTGAAAATAATTTTTTTCTTGTATTAGGCTTCTGTGAGGGAATATTTTTCTGTTGTTGTTGGTTTTGTCTCATATTTGTGAATTTGTTACATACCTTTGTTCTAAGACTGCGCTGATGAAATAGTTTGGCAATCAGGTATATTATCGATTATTGTGAAAATTGATTGATTTCCCTATCCTAGTATTAATAAAAGATGATCCTATCTGGTCTTATTTCTAGACCTTAAAATTAACCTTTTAAGTTTAATAGATTAACTAATGCACATTACTCAAAATACATTATTAAAGTAGATCCTGAAGATAGAGAGGGTAAATGCTCATAATTTATAAGTTCATACCTGGTCACCCCGACCTATGTCAGTACTCCTGTTGAGCCACCCTGGTCAAGAAAAGTGGGCACACCCCTGCATGGCAGCACACATGAATCAGTGAATCACTGTTTGGGATTCAGCACACATGAATCCCAAACAGTGTGTTGTATAGTCTGGATTCAAAGGACGACTCCAATGAAATGTCCACGCTCTGCTCTACTCAACACCTCCTGTTAGGTATGCCTGACTTTATATGCAGATGATGAGACCTCCTTTCTTCCAGATGATTGAGCAAAGACTAAGTCAAAAACGTGGGAGTGGGATAATGGACTATGTGAGGTGCTCAGGCAGCGAGTCCTCATTGTGGCACTGTTTGGCCAAGCGTGATAACGAGGATTTTAAGTGTGAATCTCAAGCCTACGTGGTTTGTTCAGGTGAGAAATGGCAGAAATCTGAGAAATCTGACCATCATCATCCATTCTTATGACATGAAATAATGTGGCACTGTCAAGCCAAGGAATGGTGGCCACAATGTGACGGCTCTGTCATGTTATTTTCTGATACAAAGTCTACGAACAATTAATTTACTCACAGTATATGTAAAGTATTTTCTGTATGCGTCTTATTTGAAAAGTCCCTCGCTGTTTCCTCTGTGCCATGGTACAGATAGCATAACGGCAAGACTGGTGGACGGTCCAGGAATCTGTGCAGGCCGAGTGGAGATACAACATCAGGGCAAGTGGAGAAGGGTTGGTAAAACTTCATGGACCGATGCCAACTCCGACACTGTCTGCAGACAACTAGGCTGTGGAAACAAGAGAAAAAGCAGCACTTCTGCAGAGAAATTCAGCCAGGGTTCAGGTGAATTCCTGTCTCTGACTGTTCAATGTGGACCAAACAATGACCACATATCTGAGTGCAAAATCAGTGCCAAATCCAGAACCCCTGGAGAGAATGAAGCAGTTGGTATAACCTGTGAGGGTGAGTGTCATTTTCATTTTTGTGTTGCATCTTTTGTCCTTCATTTTCTACTCTGCTGCTGTCCCCAGCTCAATCCTGTCAGAAAAGAAATACTCAGTTGCACTTGACCAGTCAACCACCTAAATTACTTACAAGACAATGGTCCAGTCGCTGTGAACAACATGGCTAGTACATGAGGAGGGCACTGACCATGACTCTGACACACAGCTCAATGCCCTGGCTAAGCATTTATCTTTGGGCTGTCAGTGCCCAGACACTAGTAGTCCCGACAATAATAGTCTTTGAGAATATATGATGTATTTATGTCATGTCAAAGCATAATATGGTAATGTTGGGACTTCATAGTGGTGGTCCTCAACGCCGATTGCCACATATCATAAAATGGAGGACAGATGAAGGAGTAGCAAACTGCTAGTGAGCTGACTGAAGCAGCCCTCTGGTAGATGATTAGACACTTTTAAAGTTGATGTTCAAAATGTTTTGTAAATTCAACAACAATATTAGAATTTATGCCTCTTCAGGTTACTAATCAACTTAGCTTAGCTTTCTTACAAGCATTGCAATCTGCTGACGCACACGTTTGTTCCACGATCATCCTCTCTATTTCTCCTCTATGCAGAGTATGGCCTGCATAGTGGGGCTCCGGGAGCGGAGCTTGGATTTGCTACATAGGAAATCTCACTGTGCCTGAACCTGCTGTTTTGGTCTGCCAGAGATTCACAGCAATTTGAATGCAGAAATACTCAGAAATGCAGTTTTGCACTTTTTTTTTAATTTGTCATGTAGCATCAGAAAAAAGCCATATGAACATATAAAAAACAAGAAAAACATGATTTTCATCAGAGTGGGTCTTGAAGAGCAAACAAGTTTTAATAACATGAAAAATCTAAAGAGTTTCTTGCTTTTTTTTTTTTTTTTTGAAGTACTAAGCTCAACTTTTATCTCTTTTTCATATTCACTCCCTGGCAGATCACAAAGTGGTATTTCTGGATGGAGAAAAATCCTGCTCCGGAATGGTGGCGATTGAGCATGACGATGAAATGTATTGGCTCTCAGGGTCTGACAAAACATGGAACGAAAAACTTGCAAACACAGTTTGTCAGCAGATGAACTGTGGAGAATTCTCTAACTTTAACTTCACCTCAAATGCTGAACTGAAAAAGAAAATTTGGGAGGACTCGTATGACTGCCTGTCGAACTCTACATCGTTATTTGATTGTAAAAACACGACACGGCCATCAGACCACAATGATACTGTTGCTTTTGTGACATGCTCAGGTAATGTGACACAATGGCAAACATGTAAAACATTGTCTTGTGTTTTGCCTGGATGTTGATTATATGATCTGACACGTATGAAAATAATAATTACCTTTTTTTGGATGCCACAACAGGACGGCTCACAGTGGACCTAACAGAGGATTGTTGGGGCTATGTCAACATCTGTAAGGGAGAGGAGTGTGGAGGTGTTTGTACCGACACCTGGATGGATGAGAAGTCGGATAAGCTGTGTCAGAACCTGAACTGTGGCCGAGCAATTCACAAAGCCGAAAACTGGCCTCAAAAAAGCTTTAGAGTGATGTACAAGAGTATGCACAGCACGAAGCAGACAACTGACATGAGCCAGTGCAACTTTGTCAAAAACGCTGAAAAAGACAGCACCTGTCAAAAGGCGGCTTTTATTGTTTGCTCAGGTAACAGATCCCATTCAAATAGCCATATTTACAAAAAGTAATATGAAAATATTTGTGGCTCCTGCTTGTATAAGTTCTAGTGATATAAAAGTGTGTTAACAAAGCTTTTAGTATTTCTTAATATTTATAGTTTTTAATGACAATAATTAAAACACACAGCAAGGCAGTTTATCATAATGGGTCAGTTCCTGTCTTAAAATACTTATTTAGGTTACTGCTGTTACTTCTTATGTGTTTTTCAATTATAATGTATTCTGTCTTAGAATTAAAATGTATTTTGATCATTTTAAAACCCATTTAAAGACAAAAACCCTGACATAAAACATTGTTTACTATACAGCTGATTAAAAGTGACTATAAGTGGCCAAGAAACAACTTTATCACCACTTCATCTCATATCATAACGACTTAATTCTGGTAATATTTTGACTTAACGCAATGTATGGCTTGATTTTCTTCGCACTTTAGTGACAAAATGTCTTTGCTGGAACTTTATTCTTGTGAAAAAAAATGTGGAAAAAAATTCAATCATAAAAAAGTTCTTTATCTTGGAAAAAAATAATTCTATTACAGTAGGCCCCCTTTTTAATGGTACATAACAATAAAACAAAAAGCACAGCCCAGATCTACGCTTTTCATTTTGAGCTATAATTTTTATGGGATTTGCAGCTGTATCATAAAATTGATGAATAACTTACTGTGCAACGTGTATTCAAGAAAAAAAAAAAAACAATGAGTATTTTAATTTTTTTGTTTGACCCATGTTTCATCTTTGATAATGGAGGAGGTGAGCTTTATGACCCTTTTCTGAGCTAGCCCCCAGCTGTAAAAGAGCTGTAAAAGTTCAGGTCCAGTTCAAGATTAAGTTGTTTGTCCGCGTTTAAAAGGTTATTGTAAGAATTGTGTTCTTGGACTCGGACAGCATTGAAACCTGCCTGCGCTGTACGAATTTATCATCATTATTATTATTATTTTTGGCAACCTTTAAGCAAGTGACCAAGACACTAAAAATCTTTTTTTCATTAGAATAAAATCATGAGAAAATATATTTCTCTTGAGATTAAAGTCTTACCATTTTAACAATTTAGATATAAAAATAAAGTTTTTGCAAAGTCATAATATCACAAGAATAAAGTTGTCCTGTTATGCATTATAAAAAGAAAAAAACAAAAACAACCAAAAAACAAAACATTTATGTTTTAGCAACTCCATAAGATGTGTCCTGTTTCACATTATTTTGCTCCTAATACAGTTAAAATCACTGCACAGCTCTGACTATGAGACTGATAACGTAACGTAACGATTCTTTTCCGGGTATTAAGTTAACCTGATTGCTCTTTATGTCCGTTTCATTATATTTTTGCAGATAGTGTGAAGACCCAAATCACTGCCACCAGAGACAAATGCTCAGGGAATGTGGGGGTGTTTTATGAAGGCCTATATCTCCCAGTGTGTGAGGAGGCTCTCAAAGACGAGAAAACTAAAGATCTCATCTGCAGGGAGGAGGGCTGTGGCCACGCTGTCAGCCTGATCAAATATTTTGGACCCAAACCTAAGTCACTTGGCATTCAACAGATACAGTGTGACGATGACAAGAAGCCACTGAGAGAGTGCCGCATCACTTCTGGCACAACCCCCTGCACCTTTGTTGGCCTCCAGTGCTCACGTATGTGAACTTATTTTATCTGAAATTGAAAAACTAGAGGAACTAGAAATGTATTCTAATAAAGGGAAATTTCATAAAAATTTTCTTTTTTTATCGTAAACTGTTATGGTCAGCAGAGTAGGAAACTAATCTGCTCAACATGGAGTATGTGTGTTTTATATTTGCTAATCTCTCTCTGTCTCTGCTCCCGTGGCTTATCTCAGGCCACAGGACGATGGAGCTCAAACTTCAAACCCCCTGCAGTGGAGCTTTGGTTGTCTACTCAGAGGGGGAAAGAAGAGCCGTCTCGTCTGAGGGCTGGACAGAAACCGAGGGGAGGATTCTTTGTCACGATCTGAAGTGTGGCGGCTTCAGCTCCAACAGGTCAATTGAACCTATATTAGAAAATTTCTGGAACTCGAGCTTCAGCTGTGCAGGTGTGAACAATCCACAAAGCATCTGGAACTGTGAAAATCAAACTGTGCTCCCAAAGGAAAAGCAGCTCTATATTGAATGTGAAGGTAAATTTTTCTGCTTCAGGAGTGAACTTTCAATGCTGAAAGAGACAAATTAACAGTAGCGTGACATCTAGATGGAAAAAAACATGCAATGTCCAGTATTTAGCCTTGAAGAAAATAAGATTTACTTCAATGACATCAATATAATTTTTGTTTTGTTATTTTCCTTCCCAGAGGAGCCAAATGTCACCCTTTCTAAAAAATGCTATGGTGAGGTAAAGATTAACAACATCCATGTATGCAACACTCACTGGGATATGGACTATTCACACTTGGTTTGCCAAGAAATGGGTTGCAGCAACGCCATTGGTAGCTTCAGCAGTCAAGCTCCCAATCCAGACAAGCAGTACCATCATGTCAAGTGTGAGAAGTACCACTCCAAACTTGGACAATGCAAAAGATTCATGGCAAAATGTGAGGGGAGTCTGGTGTCAGTCTCCTGTGTCGGTAAGTAGATGTGCATTTTGTTCACCTCCACCAAAAATCTTTATTCACCGCTTTATTTGAAACATGTCTGGGGTTGAATTGTGAAAACAGAGTGGTCAGCACTTGTGTGGATCACATTTTAATATTATAACATCATAATAGTGATGTGAGAAAAGTTTTTTACACAAAAGGTCTAATTTCTTTCATTTGCTTGAATACCTTGAGATGTATTTCTCCTTTGTCTCACATTCATGCTGAGTGAGATCATCATCCCCTACCTCCTGTTCTGCATTTAACAAACAGCATTGAGGATATTCTTCTTTATCATCTATCTAAAACAAAAGAATATTAAATAGTTCCCTTAAAACATTGTTAAAAACGTTGAAATTATAATGTTTTTCTTTGTTGTTTATTACAGGAAATGTGAAGTTCAACACTATGGAAAAATGTGGCGGTCAAGTTCAGGTCGATTACGGAAACAAGTGGGAAAATGTGTGCACTAAAGCACCAATGTTGTCCAAACATAGAAAGCAACTGTGTGAAAAGCTGGAGTGTCAGCAACAAAATACGAGCATGTATGACCCTGCCAACAAAGTGGTAAATATGACATATTATTTCACCCTCTAGCAAATTCTTTCATATTTTGATGTATAGCTGCATTTTTTAAAATTGTTTTCTGTCTAACTTAAGGCCAGTTCAGTAATCTTGATGAGTTGCACCGACGCTCATGAGGACATCAAGTACTGTATAAGCCAAGGGTCTTGTGGGGAACTCAAACCAGCTGAGGTCTACTGTGATGGTAATCAAAACCACCTATCGGTGATCTGTATTTTAGGCTGTGTTAACTTTTGCCACTGATCACAGTCAGAGAGCACAGGGGGCACACCCGGAAGAACTAAACTTGATAGAAAGTCATACGTTTTTTTTTTTTCTTACACCAAAGAGATTGTAAGTTTTTACACCTATGCTGATGTTTTTTACGTAGTCTTTTTCTCTCCTCTAATGCTGCTCCTGGTCCCCAATATTGGCCACCATAGCTCATCACCTAAACCTCACCTCTGCTCTCTCTTTATACATTTAATGTGGATGATAAAACTATCCTTCTGTGTAAAATTCAGTTTTCTTTGATGTTGTCATTTTTGTGTAGTTTAACTCCATTGCAGAAATGCATCACTGCGGAGGCAGACATCTGCACTGAGTTAAAGGTGGTTTCTTGTTTAATGTATTTGAATTTGATTTTAGGGTGACCCTCTGTATTCAAGCGGAGAATACAGGTTTTAAAACCAACACTGATGGAAACTTTTGTTGATTTTAAACGGGAAATACTTTTGAGTGGTAGAGTATGTTGCTTTTATTTCAAGATTAGCCAACTCGCTGGTTTCTGCTAATGATGCATCTTCATTTTCCCTCCTTTTTTATGTCATGAGGAAACCGACATAGAGCAATCACAGCCTCTTGATATGGATCAGTCATTTGACAGTATTACGCTATGCTGGTTTTTAGCATAATATCAATATAAATCATTTGAAAAGAGATGATTATTATGAATACCCACTGCCTATAAAGCAACAGCCCTGGTATCAACCTGCAGTTCACTTGTCTGACTTCAAGTGAACACAAACAACATTGTTGTACTTTTTTCCCTTATTTTAGGATATTCTGACAATCCTGAAGAAAAGCCGACCTCCATGGTGCCTCTAATCCTGGGAATCGCATTTCTTTTGCTTGTTGTGCTCGTACTCATTGTAGTGATAGGAGTCTGGGTTGTCCGTAAATCCAGAAGGGCTGCCAATGCCAAGTGTGAGTATTTCATTCTGTAAACCCTTTTATTTTACTAGTTGTTGCTGCTTCAGTTGCATTAAGATCTTTAAGAAGTGCACCATTTCAACAGTTTCAACAGTTTTAAGTGCAAACAAAAAAGGGTGCACTTGGGACTCTCTCCCACAAGACGCCAGTGTTCCTGCATGTTGAATTCAATCAGCTTACTGTAGAAAACCATCTAAACCTCTTACTTCCCAGGGTTTAATTATGTAAAGATACACAGAGATGCCAAAACTAATGCCAAGGCTGCTTGAGAAACCCATGCAGTGTTTAATAAGAAAAAAATGGGAAAAAAATCAAACCTAATCACAGTATCAGGCCCAGAAAAAGAAAGTTTAAAGAGACTGATCCATTTGTTGTGAGTTTTGTTTTTATTTCCTCTTGTTAATTTCTTTGTTTTGTGTTTTTTTTTTTTTTTTGATGCAGTACGAAAGTTCTCACAGCATGAAGCAGTGTTTGAAAGTTGTGACTACGAGGATTTGAAGAGCACAGTGAATGAAACAGAAGACTTCAGGCAGAGTGGTGAGTCATGTTTTCATTCATTTAACCTGTTTTATATTTTTTTTATATTTTTGAAAAAATATGAAATTCCAAATCAAAACTATTCACTGCACCATGTACCTAATCATGTCTTTACAACAGTATTTATAACAGGAGTATTTCACTTGAATTGTGTCTTTTTTTTTAATATAATGATTTTAGCATCAAAATTATACAACTTTTAATATACTGCTTTTTTAAAAATAAAATTTAACATTTTGTACTGTATGTGTAGGACACTTTGAATGGCTGTCTAGAGGGTCTTAACTCACCCTGAGGGAATTTCACATTTGGCCACCAACTAGAACAGCACATACTGATGCAAAATCTTGATATTTGACTTTGAAATTGTGTATTCAAAGGCACCATTTGCCTAGTGACTTGGACTGAGGCTTTCTCTTGTGATTCCAACTTGCCAATCCTACCCTGCATGTCACTCCTACACGGCTGAAATTCATACAGCTTATATAAACAGGCTCACTGATTCTGCAATCAGCACCGTTTCCATGACAGCTATTATTGGCATACTTGCAGGACAAACTAATATAAAAGTTAAGATTTAATTTTTATGTGTGAAGTCATCACATTAGCATGCTTGTTTGTTGTAACATTTCTGTTACTGTCCTGAATCAGCTCTCCTTCCTCTTAGATATTTGCACTTGTCACACCTATGAACATAAATGAGACAAATGCCACACTTTATAGCAAGCAACCACTTAGAAATGCTCCAACCTGCTTTGTGAGTGTTGCATGGATTGCAGGACAGGATGTTGCACCACTTTAGGATAGTTGGGGCTTAAGGCTAAAACATACAGAATCCATATTGAGCGTCAGAGTCACATGTCACGCAACAAATAGGTTCCCGTTCTAATCAATGCAGCATCATACACAGGACGCGTCTAAGCTCCGTCTCAGAAGCGTGTCGAGCGTGGCACTGCTAAAGATACACGCCAAGTCTATTTTTGCTTCTCTGCACTTCCAGCCGGCATCAATCTACACAGAGAAGATCATTCTAGACAGGATATCAAGCATGAAGATCATGCATGTCATCTGGTAAATTTCAAAATAAAACACTATATGTTGACTCCCGACTGTTTATCAGTTCGTCTGGATGAGAAATACTTCCTGGTTATGGATTTATCAGTAACATAGAACAATCTGATGGTCAATCCCTGATCCATGTAGACCCCAACAGGACTTTGAACTGCTAACTCTGTCTAAAGGTAACAGCACAGCATAAAGGCACATACTTAATCAAACACGAGTTCACCTGCAAAAAACGAAACTATAAAATTACATTGCTTTTTCACATACAGTAGAGGCTCAACAGTCACTGAATTATATCCAAATTAGCAGGAAACAGACCACAGGAAGTTAAATCAACCTGTTGTGAGCATGTTATTTCCTCCATACCGAGCCCAGCTGACCGGGGCTGCACTGCACTGCTGCTACGCTCCAAACATGCATCTTGTTTGCAATGAAGAGCGCTGCTTGACAGAGCAGAGATGAAACGCCGACAGAATGCGCTCAACACGGAATCTGTATGTTTTCGGCTTTAGTTGCGCTTTAGGCTGTTAGAAACATGCTAATGAAACATTTTTGCTACAGTGTCAACAGACAGAGGTGAAAAGCGCTGGACTGCTTTTTGTGGGTTGATTTGGTATGATGTGTTTGATCAGGTTGTTTTAATGTTGTTAAGAATGAACCACTGTTTCTGTGGAGTCAATGAGAAACCAGGATTAAACACAGTAATAAGTAATAGAGTTGGGTAATCTATATTGCTTATTTTTTATGCTAATACAGAGTAATTTGTCTTTTAAGTTTACATGACAAAGCAGTCAGAAGTTTGAGTTTATCTTCTGCAAGAATATTTGCAAAATTCACATTATAGTCATCTTCCCGTGATGCTGTAAACTTGATGCTAAATGTAAAAGCAAGTACTGGTTTGAAATAAGATGAGAATGTTATGGTTATACACAGCATCCAGACCTGAGGCTGAGCTCATCATGGAGAGGGATGCTCAGAGCTCGTCTTCTTTTCATTACGATGATATTGATGAATCAGCGATGGAGACTCGTCGTCTGACCTCTCCAGCCATTCCAGCGTGTTCCTCTGGGGACAGCTACGCTCGTGAGGGGGCTTTTGATCAAAGCACAGGAAAGTTTTGAACCAGAATTTTCGCACCTTATTAAACACAAATACCTGACTAGTTTCCATAGCAGCAGAATCAGAATAAACTTGCATCTGTTTTTCCTCATAACAGGAGAACAGACCTACGAGGTGGACAACTGGGGGGAGAATTATGACGACATTGAAGCCACACCTGAGACCAGAGCTGAAGTCCACAACAGTCCCAGAGCTACACCTGAAAATGTCAGAGCAGCTACTCCAGGACTGCCAGAGAGGGATGCTGAAGACTACCTAGTGCCGGGTCAGGATAGGTGAGCCAAAACTGGGTACTGAATGAAAAAAATGTCCAACAAAATCAGTCTCCTCTGTCCTGACAGTATATCACTGTAGTTATTGTTTTGTGCAACAAACTCGAGCTGAAGTGGGTTTCAAAGAGTTTGACTGACACAAAGTTGACATTGACATTATACATTGATTTAGAGATAATTGTATTCATTTCATTAAAGTTGAATGCTTCAATGACAGCTGACTCTTATCGGTCAACTTGCAGTAAAAAATAAAACTATTAAAGGGATATTCCAGCGTAAAATTAAGTTAGGGTCAAACACACTCCAGCAGCCGCTTGTTTGTACAGCGACCTCAGACAAGTCCATCACGACTGCAGCGGGTGACGCAGCTTGAGGAAGAACATTTATGATCATTACTTTTTTATTTCTTTGAAGTAATAATCACCATATTAATCATTTTGCACAGCAGACGCAGTAGTCCTTCTGCCTCAGCGTCTTGGTCTGATTGCATTTCCATGGAGAAATGATCATAAATGTTCTTCCTTGAGCTGCATCACACGGCTTCAGCCATGATATCTCTTTAAGTTAAAATTTTAGCTTTCATATCCTTTAAAGCTCCTGTGAGGTACTTTACATTTGTGTTGCCCCAAGAGGACAAAACTCTCATGGCTTATCTTGTCCTGTATATGCAAAATCAGTGCCTTCTGAAACAAATTCATTCTGCAGAGTTTTTACAGTCAATCTTATCATATATATTTTATGTGAAAGACAAATATTTCAGATATTTCAATAAACAGAAAAGCACTTAACAGAATCCGAAGAGAATTCACCAAATTCTAGAACATTTCTTTGCATGTTGAAAAAACTTTTTGTGTTTCATGGCCAATTTTAGCATTTTGGTATATGTCTCAGTCGTTTCTGAATATATTTTGTGGTTTTTATAATTTTTTGTTTAAATCGTTTTTATTCTTGACAGCTCTTCTTCTACATTAATTGAAATGGTTTTAATTATCATGAATTTTTTTGTGTGTTTCGTTGAATATTTAGTGTGTTCATTGGGTCAACCTTTAAGGTTACAGCATATTGTAGAGGCAAACTTTCAGCAGCAGAACCTATTTCATTTATATGTATGGTTTCTGTAGAACTTGGATATCATGTACAGTGCTATTAATCATTTAGCTTCCCCTGAGCATCACTGCCTGGGAAATCAAACGGCAAATAAAGTATTTCTCTTTTTTAAAGGTGTGTTTATCAAGTTTTTGTGTATTCAGTCGCATATATAAGAACAGTGTAGCATTGATTGTGCTGCACTTTGTGTATGAAACGTGAAACCTCTTTCAGGTATGTTTGTTTCTTCACCCTGCGCTCCAGACACCTGCAGGATTTTGGAAATGGCTCAGATGTTGAGTATCAGACTGTATGTTTTATATGTCATATATAGTTTGATACACAGCACAATAAGCCGTTTTCTTTACACAGCAACACTGTATGAGCAACTCCTGTTATGCGCTGAAGATGTATTTGTGTTGTATAGCTATTAAGTGAAGTTTTACGCATATTTTATATTGATTGAGGTTTTTGTGATTTTGCTTTTGTTACCACAGAAAGCTAATGGTGCATATGGCTTACAAAAAAAAACATCCAAGCCCTCCATTCTAGCCATTTTTCACATAAATATAGGATAACATACAAATGAAAAAACTCAAAAAAAGCATTTTGCACTATGAGGAAGTAATATTTTATGCAAGCAGGCAAGTGGGGCTGACTCCAGATGAGGTCAGGACTGTATAATGTGCCAAATATGGCGATTTTCCACCTAACATACCACACATTTTGACTGATTACTCAAAAAGTTATGGAATGCCCATCCTGAAACTTGCAGGGATGCTAGTGGACATGATAGTATTTCTTAAGTGTGAATATGAAGAAAATTGAAGGCCGCGTGTTTTTTGCTATTTCCAATTTAAGTTTTTTAGTCTTTTATAATTTTTTTCTGGTCCAATTTGGGAAAAAAAATGTTATGAAAATGTATGTAAAGATAATGTTTGAATAGATCTTGAAGAGAGCTTTAAAATGACACCCGAATCAGCTCTCTAGGTGCCATACTTCCAGAGATATGAACACTTTTGTAACGTATGTCATGCTAGTTAGCCAACAATTCATTAGCCCCTATCTCACTAATTAGATGGCTTTGAACAAAAATATTTGAGCTCTGACAGTTTCTCCTGAAGGCCAATCACTTCACCAAATTTCATCAAAATCTGTGGCGTGAGTGGAGATTCTTGGTTGAATTGACATGGAATGACTCTATATTGAGTACAGTTTCATCCTTGTGCTCTTTAACATCCTCTGTGAGTCCTTTAACATCTCCTCCCAATACTCCAGACATATGACAGAGCAGCTGCTGGCTACAAATGTTAACATGAGTAAGATCATCCATTAGGGACCAGCAGACACTCTAGTGCTGCTTTTAAGGGACTGACAGAGTTGCTAGAGTCGCACATGTTTAGTCAGGAGTTAGCAAAGAGCCTGTGAGATCACAAAGTCAGCGATACACCCAAAGGGACTAATTTGTAAGGAGCAGCCTCTGTATGATATGTAAACATCACAGCCAGGCTCACTGTCAGAGGCTCCACTCAGGGATCAGGATGAGGGATTAGGTCTGCTGTGATGCTGCAGCTGAAATAGACACAGAAGGGACAAACCTGATCTGAAAGTGACAGAGGTCACCTTTTTAATCAGTCTGTGGTGTCACTCATAGGAAAAACACAGTAAACTGATTACGTGAGGGCCTGCTTTTGTAATATAAGTAAGTGCTGTAATACAGTCGTCCATTTCTGTGACATTTTCATGTAACTAGAACACTAATCCTGTCTGTTACATGATGTCCAGTTAGGATGTTGCATAATAAGCTCTCATTTTGAAATCCCACTCTTTCTACATTATTGAATAGATTACTGATCTAGTAAAGTTCATCTTTTATATACTAACATAAGGGATAATCATCCCTGTTAAAAGGCAATCTATATTTTAGTATCTATTATCAATTGTCCTTGCATAATAAATATGTCATAAATATGACAATGATGATGATAACAATAACAACAACAACAACAAAAAAATAATAATAATAATAGTAGTAGTAGTAGTAGTAGTAGTAGTAGTAGTAATAATAATGATAATAATAATAGTAGTAGTAGTAGTAGTAGTAGTAGTAATAATATGTAAATCAAATATGAATAGCTTCATAGAATAATTTGCAGCTTTATCAGCTGCAACCGAAAGAATGATGGACACAGTGATGCATAACCTTAAATGAACCTATAACTATTTAATAACATTAACTAAAAGAAATAGACCATTCTGCGTGATAAATGCTATTATTGGATATTTCTAAACTCTGGTGTTACTTCATGTCTTTTTACACATCATAGGTATTTCAGTGCTTTTATGGTATCAAACTGAGAGCCTTTGTTCCAAACATCTAACTCAAACTTGCTTTGGAATCTTCTTTATCATAGTATTATTACCACATCCATCTCTAGACCTCAGCTTAATTTTCATTTATATTTGTCACAACCTCTGTTTGCCATAGAAATGGTGTCACTTAATGCTGTTTGCAGCAGACATACTTTGTTGGGATCAACTACACCTGACTAACAGGCCAACAATCTGTTAAAGCACCAACATTAATGTCATGTTTGTAGATCCAGCACTTTCAAGAACAATAATGAATCTGATCTTTTTTTTTTTTTTCTTAGAAAAAAACACACAATTTGAAATAGAATAAAAGGCTTATGCAAAGTTTTATAAGTCTTAAAATATTCAGACATGATATTTTCTTCTTTGGCTTTAATCCCAGGGAAAACTCTAGCATGCTAACTGTTTAGCTACCACGGAGGATACTTCTAGCCAATCTGTCAATTTGGAGGCATGGTTGTCATTCACTCTAATAAGTAAACTTTTATTTATAGCAATCTATGCCATAAGTGTTTGAATGTGACATGTAATATGAAGGTGGGTGATTTAACGGTTAGAGAATTATCTTAAGATTGCTGCAGCTTGGGTGGTTTATCTAAAAAAGAAATATTACAGGTGATTTCACAATTTTTTTGCCAACTCCAGGACTCCAGCACTAATATTACAACTTTTAGATGTGACTGGAATTTTAAAAAAGAGTAAAAGTCAGTCTTGAAAACATTTTGGATATCCTTTAACACAAATATTAAAAACTTGTTTACTTTACAGTCCATCCATTATCCTCTGATCTGACTCATCTGCTGGCTGTGTAACAGGCTCAAACAAAGATCAGCTGTGATTAAAGTCTCTTTATCCACCCCCTACTGTCAGTTTTCTTTTCTTTTTTTTTTATGAATGGTGAAGACAGATGAACCTTTGGCTGGCAGTGAGGCCCCAGTTGTGGTGATTTTCCATGACAGAGGTTCATTATTAATAGAGCATCTACTAATAGTATGTTGTCATACTGAAAGCCTGGATTTGCTGTCTGTGTGTGAGAGTGTGTGTATGGTCTGTGTGAAACGATCTTCCTTACATTTGCTGTTTTTGTGGTATTTAAGAGTAAATCTCTGATGTGTGGCCTCCACAGTTTTTAGGAAGTTGAGTAGTGTTTTCAAATTGTAAAAGATGAACAAAAATCACCTTATTAATGATAATGACCAGATATTTGTTAATATGTTTGGTGCCCCCGGTGTACAAAGCTGTATCTTGCTTTCTTTTGTTTATCTAGTCCTGTGTTGGTGTTGTGTTCTCTGAGAGACAACGTGTAATTTAACTCAAATCTTTGCTTTGGAAAAATTAAAAATGGCTGCTCTGTGTGTAGGGTGGTGGTTACATTGTGTGACACTCACCCCTTGGGAGTTGCTTCATTTAAATCAAAAAAAGTACCTCTTTTTAAAGGATGCATCTTGTTTCTGATGGTTTTGTTTACTCTTGTTGCTCATTTTATTATTGTGAGTTTTATAACCAGCTAAAAACTACCTGTGAGGAACTTATAAGTTTTTGTATTCATATCGAAGTGTCTTAATATAGTAGATCACAATTCATACTTCTCAAACGATGAGCACACCAATTATCCCTGACATTACTTTTGTATTTTATTCCTGTATAGAGAATCTTCATTTGATTTATTGCTATATGGACTTCTCTTTGTCTTTAAAGCCCCACTCCTATTGTTTTTTCTGGTCTTTAAATTGTCATTATAAAGTTTTTAGCGAAAAATCACGTTACCTGCCGTTTTCAAGGGCTTTTCTTCTGCAGAGCTTCAGTAGCTCATTAGCAATTCACCTCTGAGTTGTGAGTGAAGACAGCGCTGCTCTGCACACTCGTCTTCATGCTAGCTTACAGCCTAATTTTGCCTGTGCAGTGGAAGTGGCAGGTAACATAGAAGCTGTTTAGCTCTCGGACCTGATGCCTTTGGGGATATGATGAAAGTTAATATCATAATAGGCTTTCTTATGAGGATAGCAATCTGCTAACACATGCACTTGTTCCGTGATCGTCCTCTCCATCTCTCAGAGTCTAGCCTGCATAGTGGGGCTGCGGGGATGGAGCTGGACATGCCCGTCTTTGTTTTTTGTGCTGGAAAAAAACAGGCAAAATGAGAATTCCCTAAATCTCACATAATTGGGAGAGGATCTGACTGTCAGTTAGTTGCCTGACAGTGCACTTATGATTTCAATTTTTGCTCTAATTATTGCTTTATATTCTAATTGGGTCGACAGCAGCCCTAACAGGACAAGTGCAATCATTTCTACCAGAGCATTTAGTAAATTTATTATTTTATTGTGTTGAAATAGAGGTTCCTGACAAGTCAAAAAGTCTTAATGCAAAACAAAAACAAAAAAAAACAACAACTATTTTTTGTGGTTCTTTTATTAATTTAAAAACAAAAATGGCTTGGTGCCGACCCTAACACAGGATGAGGGTTAAGGTGGTTAAAAAAAGTGCTCTACCATGGGTACCAATGTTCTAGCTGTCAAAGTGTCCCACAAATAGAGATTATTGTCCTCTCTTCAGTGGTCACTGGTTTGAGTCCCAACCACTACCAGTCTCTCCTTCCCACAATTCCTGTTCCCTTTTAACTTACCTTTCTAATAAAGGGGGGAAAATCACCATAAAAATGTCATAACAAACTTATAAAATGAAATGTTTATTTATATGAATATTTTTTTAAATCTAGAATTAGAAAAGTTCATGTCTAAAAGTCTAAAAATTGTGATCTCCTTTGGTGCCAAAGCATCTTGTTTGAGGCCCCTTAACTCTGGCCATCGATAGTCTTCAAATATGTACATTAGCCTTTAAAATAAACTTCTTTAAAATGTATGAAATAAAGGATTAATCTCTTTGCACCAGGTTGTAGAGATCAATCGAAAACGTGGAATTAATGTGTATATAAATTATAATAAAGAAGTTTTACAGTAAATGTGGAGCACAAACAGAGGCTGAATGGTTCACAAGTAAATTCTCTTTCCTGATCTCGCCACTGTCCTATCCATCATTAATAAAGGCAAAAAAGACCCCAAAATACAGTTATATGAATACATAGATTAAAAAAAACTCTGAAATTACAGTGCAAGCTATAGTTTTTTTTTTTATTCAAAGGTTTAGATATGTCTGATTACTTCATTCATCTTATGTTCTGAAATACTCACGTTATAAATGTTTGAAACTCCAGAATCTTATCTTGTCTTTTAAAACTAAAAAAAATAAAAATAAAAAATGCTTTAAAACAGGCTGTAAAAAGGGCCAAAAATGTCCCTTTGCTCGACATAAGTAAACATGCAGATTTCCTCATATGTAAGTTACATAACTGAGATAAAGAAGTGCGATTGTGGTGTAGATAAGGTGAAGGAGAAAAACACGACCACAGCATTTCTGGTAATAGCAGGAAAAAGAAATCCTGTGATAAAGCCTGAGATGGTTGGGTAGATGATGTTCTGTGGAAATATTTCTTATCTGGTCAGTCTTCCAGATTGTAGGTTCAAAGTACATAACATGCCTAAATTAAAAACAGAGAGCTTCATTATGAAATAAATAAAGTACTCCTGTTTGAAGGGCTCTTTGTGACTTCTTGTGTAAAGCAAGTTGTCCACAAGATTAACACAACGGTTGCAATGCCTTGTTACACAGTGCTGGCATGCAAAGCATTACTAAAATCTTTAGAGACACAGGGTGTGATATGTGTGTGAATGCCAGCATAGATAGTTGTTGAGTCAAATACAGACACAGGCTTTGCTGGGCTGTATGGGTGTCTGTGTGACAGGCCTAAGTGTGCAGTCGGGCTCGAGGGTCAGCTGTAAGATGACCACGGTTAGTGTAATGCCCTGAATATGCTGTCAAGTATGAGGGGGGCCAGAGGGTACAGGCCCCAGGCCAAGTTTGGGTCTGCACTCTGTGGAGGATGACATGTCCTACCCCAGAACACCTGCAACATCCAGTATACCCAAACAAAAAGCCATCCATCAGTGGGGAGCCAGGTGGAGGAGTGATCATTCAACTGAGAGGGCCTGAAGAAGGTCAGTGAGAGAGAGGTTTAACACGGAGCTGTGACAAAGGTCATACATCACACTTCAAAGAGGGGAACACGATACCTGCCCTGGAGAGTCGGTGAAAAGAGCAAGAGGATGGATGCTTTTATTTCTATTTTTTTCATATGCATGCCCTCACAACATGTCATCATACACAGTACATAAATATAAACTCTGTATACTTCTGGACACACCTATATGTATACAAATGTACAGTTTGATGAGTATGGCCAATGAAAATATGTGTTAAATTCACACAGACACACACTTATATAAAAGCAAAAGATATATAAGCATATGTAGCTTAAGCTGACTTAAATTTCATTATATAATAATATAAATTTTTCCAAAGGTTTTCCAAGAAACTTTTGCTCCAAACTTTTGAGATCTTGTAAAACTAGACAGATCTTTCACACTCGCCTCGAAGCAGGCAGTGCAGAGAAACGAATGTATGATGTCTAGAGGGGACCATGGCTTGTACTGATTGAATTAGGTTGTAGCTCCCACTCTGCTTTGGTACTGTTGAAAAGAGATGTTGGGTTTGAAATGCAATGACCAGCTGGTCAGTTAGTGACCTGAGGAAGCTTCAGCTGAAGTAAACAATCCCTCAAAAGTTTCTCTGGACCACGCAAAGTTTTGATGGATCTCATACAATTATTGGGGATCTTGCAGAAGCTTTTTGGAATGAACCTTAAAGTTTTTTCCCTCTCCATGTGCCCAAAGGAGCTGAGCTCAGGGGACAACTCAGGGAAAATATTTGTTTGATTGACCTGCAAATTATAAAAAAAAAAAAAAAATGCTTATTTTGCAATAACAGACTGTTTTAAAACTTAGAGTATACATGCTGATGTCAAAACTCAAAACAATTTTCACGAACAATCAAACATCAAAACACAATAGTCATTCATTTTGACAAAAAACAGTCACAACTTACTGAGAGCTACTCAGTCAACATTTAATTATTTTCTATTACTCACTCGTGGCAAACAGAGTAAAGGATTTTCCGCATGAGGTTTTAAGGTATCTCTCTGTATCTTCTCCTGTTTATCTGTGAAGTGTCTTAGCATTAATATAAACCAAATTAACTGTATGAAACAAGTCTCAGATTATTATGTCCTCAAAATGTTTAAAACCACTTCATATCTGATGCCTGGCTTGATGTCTACATGTATGCTTTACCTCCTGTCAGGTAAGTGGAACATAAAAAAAAGACTGGTTATGGGTATGAGGCTGTTCCTGCAGCTGGTCAAGCCCAGGATTACTCACTTATTCTTTTTCTGCTGTCTGCTCCAGCTCCATTCCATCCACATTCCTAACCCAGTCCTTCTCCACATACGCTCTCACTTCTCCAACCTCACACCTCTTGTCTACATCTGGTGCCAGCAGCTTGGCAAACATCTCCATGGCATCTGGAGTGAATCTTTTCCACAGCGGAGGAATGTCCTCCTCAGTGTACGGCCTTTCCTCCATTCTGCACCAGTCATCAAACTCCTGGTAGAAGTCATCAGAGTCCATGCAGCGCTCCCAGGGGAAGTAGCCGGTTAGGACGCAGAAGATAACCACCCCGAAGGCCCAGGTGTCCAGGCTGGGCTCCACGCTGAGTGGAGGAGCAGTCACTTCTTTCTGGTCATCCACTAAAGCCACGCCACAAAGCTCTGGAGCCATGTAAGGCAAGGTTCCTGTAATGAAGCGGATCAGGGTACCTCTCTTCTGGGCCAGGCCAAAGTCTGCCAGCTTGACCTGGCAGCAGTGACTGTCCAATAGAAGGATGTTTTCAGGCTTCACATCACGGTGGACCAGGCCATGGCTGTGAATGAACTCCAGAGCACTGGCTATCTGGAGGACACAACGTTTGACTGAAGACTCAGGGATGCCCACCTAGAAACATGAGACAAAGAAGTGACAGGATTTTGTGCTATAAATAACAAAGCGTGGGTTTATTCTCAACATTGGTCCGTTAAAAAACAGGCTGTTCAACTCATAGTTTTTACCAAACACTTCTAGCGCTTTTGCACATGTCTGTTTGTTGGTTATTTGTTTCTTGTTAACATTACTTTTAAACATTCAATTGTGAAGTGGACATTGATATAATGACCAGTTATCAATACATTTGAATTCTGTTGGATTTGTTATTTACTGATGCTATTGCAGATACCTATATGCTGAACATGGAGAGGGGAGAACTTGTGAAAGATATTAAAACTTCTCACCACTATTAAGCACCAGAACACCACAAACTGACTTGTATCGCTAGAGGTGGTATAATTCTGAAGGCATACCCTGTTTGCCCACAGTCAGTTTGTTTGGATTAAATTAAATTATTTACTTAACGGATAGTAAGGACAGCCCTGTTAACATGAATAGCCGAATAACCGCGCACATCCCTAATTTAAATGCTACATGCACCATAGACTGTAATGTTATGAGTGGGCGAGCGTCCCTTAACAAAATGGCTGCCATGTGCGGACATCTGTCTCCATTGGCTAACAATGTGCATAAGCCATCTAGCTTTTTTATATATCTATGACTGAAATGCTGGTAACTTAGGTGTGACGTCATTTTTAGCTCAGACTTCTGACTTCCAAGGTAACATGAATGCAGCATTAGCTTACTCAAAACTGTCACAGAAAATAAAATAAAATCATCACAAAATTAAATAAAATAATAAAATTATGTTTTTTAAATAGTATTTTAGAAAGAGGTGGGAAATACATAAAAAAATATTTTTTTAAGGTATTATTAATGTTGATGTTGTTTTTATTTTTCTTATTAGTAACCTGCGTCTTTACATACACACAGCGTAGCTACAACGCAGCATAGAAGCTAACCTTAGCCTTTGCCTCACTAGCACGATGCTTCCGCGACCAGCTGCCGTGTTCCCAGCCCTGGTCCCCACCCTCCAGACACCTGTGGCCTCTCTCAAGACTTCGTCATCTCTGTCACTTCTGTACATTGAGAGCAACATATCTAGGAGGATTAAACCTGAGGAAATAGTTGAGATATTTGACACAAAGGCCCCGCGGAGGATGCTACCTCATTAAGGTGAGAACATTGATTGATTAATTAATTATGGGCTACAGCAGCGGAAAAAAACGAGTAGAGAATGAAAGGACTCATTCTGCTGCATAGTAGTTTGATGAACATAATATTAGGGGAGACTGGGGCTTGTTGTCACACTTTTTACACTCATATATTTCTTGGAATCATTACATCATAAATTTAAAAAAATGTGTACCACAGGAAGGGGGGGGGGGGGGGGGGGGTGCATAACGTGCTAGCGCGGCCATTTTGACCAACATAACAACACTAAGCGCATTGGAATGAATGAAATTAGGATGAGGTTAGGTTTTAAAAAACAACTATTTATTAGTTGTTTTTTAACAACTGTGACTACACAGTAAAGTGGGGTACACGAATAAGGATTTTTTAAAATCTGAAGTGATTTCTTATCTGTTACACACATGAAAATAAAAAATCAAGCACTTAACAGTTTTGATTGTACTCTGTGTGGTGTGCTCCGATAATCTCAACACAGCACACCACACACAAAACGATTCTGTTCCAACACCGATCTAGAATCTAGTCCTCCAAGACAGAAATCTCGCGTGATAAAACGTGACCTAACGAAAATGAAGAAGAAGAAGAAACATAGCAACAACTGGGAAACATGGAAGAGGACACACAAAAGGAGGGAATGGTGGTTTTATGGAGTATTTTCGACAGAAAAATCCTGCACTAAAAAAAAAAGATCGTGGAAAAAATTCTAGAGATAGCGTGGACGCGGACTTTTTAGTCTACTGAGCAAGCTAGAAGTGAGTTTTTTTCAAATTAAGCTAATGGCTGGTGTGATTATCCTAGTAACACAAATAAATCTGGCAGCCATCAAGAAAGACAGGCCGTGCTTTATTTTTATTTGCTTTCTTTGGTTCCTTGTTCCTCAGCCAGCTCCCTTCTTGATTGGCTACATTCCGTTTCACGTGACAATTCGCGGAGTCATGACTCAGGAGTCGTCGGCTTTCCCCACACACGTGAAGATTTTTGGTGGTTAATGTTGGACAAGTTTAATATTTACGGTTGATGGCCCTGATCTGTTTCGGACCCAGTTGCATCAGAAATCAGTTGGTTTTGTGTCATTTCTTTTTTGCTTGCATTGCTGAGCTTGATTTGCTGTCTTGATTTTTTGATTCTGTGTTTTTATTGGCATATAGACCAGACCAGAGAACTTTTACCAACCAGTTACCCTCTTGTTAGCACACTTGCATATCTGATTAAGAAGAAATGTCATAACAGTTAATCATGGTGAATTGGAGCAAATGATGTTTCCTGTTTGAGTATAAGTATGGATTTACTGTTAATGTAGAGCACTTTAGAGGGCTAAAGATATGAAATGTTCGCACTTGCAATAAAATTCTTCCAATGCTTTTCCACCAGCTGCAGCCATGTACTCAGTGCTAATGACTAAGTATAAGATTGCTACTGTGGTAAGTCCAAATGCCATCATGGTAAACATTATACCATGATAGTTTTGTCAGCATGTCAAAAATCTGACATTAGCATTCAACTAAAAGCACCACTGTATTGAAATCCAACCTCTTAGACCCACTGGTGTTGCTCAAGACTAATCTCGTGGTCTTATTTTGCCAGTACATGACTCACCTTTGGCTGGATGACAGCAAACAGGTCCCTGCCAATGACGAGCTCCTGGGCAAAGCAGTAGTGGTCATTAGACTGGAAGGCAATGCCAAAGAGACCCACGATGCAGGGGTGGCAGGACAGGTGTAAGGAGATGCAGTACTCACGCAGAAAGCCCTGCAGCTTAGTAGAGGCTTTAGGCATCACTTTCAAGGCCATGGGAGTCCCTGGAAAGGAGCCATGCTTTATTTTGGTAGTCTTAATCATTGTTTATACAATATCATTTCAGTCAAAGCTAAGACATATGTATTTATCGTATGTTTAGCAATAATTTACAGTAATATTTTTGCCTTGTTATAAAATGTCAAATGCTACCAGGTCCCCTCTACTTCGACCTCTCACTTCAGTGGCTGTTATATCCAAGACCTTCAGGCCACAAGCCAACAGCATGCTCTGCATTCTGCTCTGTCCTTTGTCTGCTCTGGCCCAGTCATTGATCCACTTTGGCTGGACTTTTTGCCTCTCAGGGTCGTCTCGTGTTTGAAGTTCCCATTGAATCAGAGGGTAGTAGCCCACCTGTCCTTTGTTTACTCTAGTTGTTTTGTAAAACTTTAAGATATAATACTCAGGCACCATTATATCTTTCCTGGTGCCTTTTTTACCCTTTGGAGCATTACCCTATCAGACTGCAGGCCTGCTTTTGGTACCTAAGGTCTCCAAGAGTAGTGAGGTAGGTAGAACATTCAATCATCAGGCACCTCTCCCTTGGATTTATATCCAAGTTTGGGTGTGTGAGGTAGAATCCTTCTCTACTTTTAACTGTAGGCTTAGGAAATTACTTTTTTTTTTTTACAAAGCTTATGGCCAGATCTGGCCCAGGCTTATTAACTCTGCATCAGTCGGCATACACACAACCCTCTGTTTTTTTTTTTTTTTTTTTCCTCATGGTTTCTGTCTGACAAAGATAAGATTTACTTTGTTATTGTGCAAAGTGCTTGCAACCAAAAACACACCCTTAAACTTACTCATACATGAAGTATCATTGAGCTTGATGTGCATTTATCGTTTGCATTATTAATGTTCATGTCATCAATAAAAATTTCCACGACTGGCAGTTTTGAAAATTACCAATTACCATTATCTTTTAAAAATAGTTTCAAAAATCTATCTTTAAAAGAGAAGGTTGGTGATGTGACATATATATATATACTATATATATATATATATATAGGCGAAATCAAGGTGCAGTTTTACCCCTGAAGCGATGGGTCACCAGCAGCACTTTGCCGTATTTCCCTCGGCCGATCTCTTTAATGATGTCGAAGTGCTCCTGGATCTCCAGGTTACTGAGGCTCTGGGCCGTCAGCTCCATCATCTCATCGATCAGGCTGCCATCAGCCAGGCTCAGGCCCAGCTCAATCATCTGAGTCCTCACACAAACAGGACAAAACTTACAGACTTCTGTACGATGCACACTAATTTAAACAGCGACCCACAACATACTGCTGGTATAATGCAAGTTTTCCTGTTTTGTTCACTTGTCATGTGTCGCATTACATGCAACAGCGTAAATGTCCTCACTCCTCAGGGAAGGACCTTGTTGAATGCACACTGTGGTCCCCAAAATGTTTGGGTTATTACTTCAACTAAACCTTATCCATGTTAACATTTAACCTACAGATTATGAATTGAGTGTCAGTTTTTAAAGTTACAAAAGCAAAACATCATCAGACACTGTGACAACCTTGCTTGAAAATTTACTTTAATTATTATCTGATTTTAAAAAAAGGGGGAAATTAGTAATCAGAACAACCTTACTGCCTATAAATGAAGCGGTGTCAGAGCTGGTACTCCACCTGGTTCACCTGAGCAACAATGAACCTATTTAAAGACAAAATTGCCACTAAATTTTACACTGATTATACCTCAGTATTTAAAGTATAATTGAATAACTCATCTGCTATTTACATGGAAGGAGCTTGATTTTGTCTAAGATTAAACCAAAAAGCGAACTCTATTGCAATCTAAAAAATCTCAATATCTGACTATCTAAAATCTATTGCAAAGATTTCCGGTGAGTATTTTAACAAAGCAGGGTTCTATGTTAAAAACACTAGTTTAGGCACCAAAATCATCACAAACCAGAACTTCCTAGTAGTAGCTTTAATTTTTTAAAAGTGCATTAGGGTTCATGCATAATTTTGAAGCACCTGATTTTTTTTTTACATTTAGATTTGACTTGCATCAGCATTTAACCTTCATAGTAGATTCTGTAAAAGTTCTTTGAATTTTTTTTTTTTTTATATGTACAACATTTCATGTCTCTGAGTATTTCCGGGTCATATTCCATTTAAGGATTTGATTTTTGCTGCTGAATGGTCCTTTAAACTACCATCAGTGGGGCGTCCTGGTGGGCTTAAGTGAAGGACAAAGGATGAAAAGAACAATAACAACACAGTAATCCAAGCGTCTATTAAAAACCTCATTAGTGCATTTAAAAGTGTTAATTCTAGATAATTCTGTCTTTTTTTGTTCCATGACCTGCATGAAGTCATTTGTGGACAATGTCTTTGAAGTCACAAGTGGAACATTGGGATGCTTTTGGGGACGGGGATGTTGAACTCTTTTCAACTTTTTTTTCCTGACCTCGGCGTCCTTTACCAATAAAATTTTGATGAATATTTGAATCTGCATCTAGTTGTGACAAATATTTTTATTTATTTTTATACACATATAATTTAACTTATCCTTGTCCTTCAGACCTCAGTCTTTGAAATCGTTTTTTTTTTTTACTTTTTCTTTTTTTACTTTTTTTCTTTTTTAACTTGCTTCCTCACCCTGAGTGTTTTTGTCATCATGTTAATTTTTATTGCAAATCCAACACTGAATGGTCAGACTTCTAAAATAAAAACAGTTTCTATGAACTCTGACCAAATGATCAGCCTTGATATTTTGGTATTTGTCTCACATGCTTTATTGTACTTTGAGATCCTGAATTTATGATGCATAGGAGGAAAAGTATTAAAAGGCTACAGCATTAGTGACCACTTCATGTAAAGTGTTATTGTATATTGATAATCTTTAGGTCTTACCTTGTAAAGTTGGTTCCAAAACAGTCACTTGAGTCTAGAAACAGCTAACTAAACACACAAAATGATGGACACACCTTCACACTGCCATAATAACTCCTGAATCAACACACAAATGCAGAACCGAAGGTTGAATGAGTGTCCTGTCTGTCCTCCACCCTCTCTGCTGCAGGATCAACATGCAGAGTGGACCTGGGAGCTTTTCACAGCCCAGCGTGCAGCTTTGCTCTCAACTGCTGCCATGGGGACAGAGCCCACTTTGACAGCTGATTACAAACTGTCTCTGCAAAGGGCAGATGCATACACACGCACATACACACACATTCATGCACACACACACACGCAAACACACAGACTTGCATACATACAATAATTGGAGTTAAACATGACTGTGTCGTAAGTTTCTGCAACAATGTATGAGAGGTGTTGAAAGTGTCACGCACAGACTGTCAGACTTGGTTATATTTTTGCGCACACAGACACACAGACACACACACACACACACACACACACAGTAAATGAAATTCTTTATTTGTCTCTGGACATCACAACCTCTTGTTTGTTATCTCCCTGACTTATCATAATGCCAGAGCATATAGAGAGCATACATGTTATTGCATGTAAAGACCTTCCTTAAATAGTACATCCCGAAACAAAACCAGCTACAGGGAAACAGTTACCTCCAGATTCTGTTTAATCTCTACAAAATCATCAATCATAGGGGCTGTCAAAGTATTGATTTCTAAACTCATCATTATCACACTCATAATCACTTTTAAAATTCCACAGTGTTCCATTATAAAACAGTTTTAAAGCCCATGTTAACTATGTAAATCATTTCTTTCATGTGAAATGAGCCACTGTGATGCCACAATTTCCCCCGTGGAATCACTTAAGTGCTTCTAATACTGAAATATGAGCCACATGTTTCCATCTAAGTTGACTCAGCTGTTTGCATTTGTGTATGATACATGAGTATATGGACATGTATGTGTGTGCTTGTGAGGTGACAGTGGGTTAACAGACTGACATCAGATTAACTGTGCCTGTCTGCTTTGCTTGTACCTTCATATATCTAATACCTCAAACTCAAAGCATGCAGATATTTCATTCAGTCTGATACAAAGTCCATACTCCTTTTGACTCGTGAGCCGTCTGGAAAGTTTTAGAGTATAATGTACTCTTCAGAAGGAAAGCAGCTGTTATTGAAGTACTTTGAACTCTAAAAAAAGCCTGAATATGAGATGTGCTGGTATAAACCAGTCACTTTTAGGAGTTTTTTAGGTTTGGAGACTTTCACTGGTTTCACCAAAGTCCTGAATGTGTTGTTATTCTGCAGCCTGCTTTGGATGTCATTACCCACCTCCTAGGAGTCAACTATGGCCCTCCACCAACCAAGTTGTCTGACATTGAAGGCTTTTGATTCACAAGAGTTTGTTTATCCTGTGAAACCTCAACAAACCCTGGGTCCATGTCCTCTGTGTATTAGAAAAAAGAAACATTGACATAATTCCTGTTGCTATTCTTTCTGTCCTGGACTCCTGAGACTGGTATCTGCCAACAGTTTGGGTGGTCTCTGTAGATTTTCTAGAGCTATTGGTAGTTGGCCTGTTCAGCTGTACTGACCTGAGAACAACTCTGTTAACACTTAACAACCTCACAACAGTGTCTGATCATCTGGGTGTATGACAGCCACATTGCATGCATATTGGTCTGAATTTTCCACCTGAGTTTGAAGCCATGAATGCACTCAAGCCAGGGCCCTCGTCCAGACCAATCCCCCTGATGTGTTGCCCACACAGGACTGATGTGGTGTTGTTGTCTGCACCTGTGTGCCTGCATCTCTGTGCGTATGTGTTTGTCGTGTTTCATTTAGTGCGAAGTCACTCAACACTTTGACCTGTTGTAGTTATTCTGGGGGCACGGAGCAGCCACACGAGCAGAGTAACGGTACAAAGAAACAGATACGCTTGGTGTGTTGGCTTCTGCAGGACTGTGGAGGGTTAATGAGGTGTCAGTTCCAGTAGTTTAGTGCTGTTGGCCCAAAAGCTACAAAGGTCATTTGCTTGCAAATAACAGGTTTCAAACTTGAATGCCTGCTGGTGACCTAGTTAAGTCACCATGAGGGTAGAAAGTTTCAGTACATGGACATTAAGTGATGACTGAGCTGTGAAACTTTAAATAAACTTTCAGACAAGTTTAATTTCACTAATTTACTGTCTACTGTGTATTCGGAATTATATAAGAGCGTAAAATATTTGTAAAACCAGAACTCTGGGGTTTGAAAATCAATTTTAAGCCTTTATTTATTTGAAAACAGGGCAAAGCCAACATATCACACACTGCAACTGAAGAATTCTTTTTTTTTTTTTCATACACAATATGTACTCCTTGAATTTGATGGCAGACAGAATTTGTGTGGAACTCACTGCATCATTGTCTCTGTATTCAGAAATAAGGGCTAAAACTGTACCGTCTCCAGTCATGAGCCCAATTACACCAACACTAAGTATACTAAATATTTATTTTATGTATATTAAACTTTTTTTGATGGTACATCGGCTTAGAACAAGTTGAATGACACCTCTGTTGTGGCTTGAGGGGGTCTATGTTGCTTTATCTGGCACGAAACAGCCTTGAGGTGGATGTTAGGAACTGCTCTACACAAAAAACTACAAATGCGCTGACTGCTTTACGGCATACGTCCCCCCTTTCCCCATTTGTTAAAAAGACAGAAGTCGATGAGAACAGCTCTTGGCTTACTGCTATCATGGCTGATCATTTTCTTCTCTCTCTTCTTATTGTTGTTTCCTGCTGCTCTCTAATGTCTATGCATTAGCAATTAGCATCGTCGTAGCTACTTGTCTTTGAGCTGCAGCGCTACACAGGCTTGTATCTCAGCTATCGGTGGAGAGTTCCTGGATCAACCCCTCGTCAGAGAGCCTTACACTTGCAGAGTGAATCGACTACAATCAAACTTGAATTGATTCATCCAATTGCTGTATATATGGGCGTGTACTGACAGTGAGATTTGGGCTATGGTTAGCCAGACTGAAATGTCTGTCAGCTTGATAGTCATTTCTGTGGTTCAATCAGAAGAAAATATTTGTTGTGTTTGCTTGTGGGAAAAAAAGGACTAAAAACTAAGTTTACTGGCAGATTTCACCACGGAAAATAACAAAAATAGATTGCTTTTTTCTTTTTCTTTTCCTGTGGAAATGTTACCTGTTCACCATTCTGAAACTGGAGAGGTGTATATACATCGCAGTGAGGTAAAGCTGGTCTCATTTGAAAGAGGAGGATGTCCTGATGTGTTGTGATATATAATAGTGGGGTGGGGTGGGGTTACGTTACGACTTCTTCAGCTTGTTCTTTTCTGCCGGGGGCGCTCATGCCCACAGCACGTGTAAAATATGGTATGTTTAGCCACAGTTAGATACATTAATTAGTCGCTATTCACCCCTCAAACAGCTGCTGGGAACATGAATGTAGTTTGGACCCTTCTCCTGTTCTTTTTCAGTCAATCCGACCAGCAGATCGGGATGTTCACGGCACTACGTGCTGGTGTTTATGGGAAATGGGGTCTTCCTTCAGGCAAAACACTACCACTCTGATCAACTGGCGTCGCTAAACTCCACCAAAACTTTGAGTTATCAGATACCGCTTTAAGGTAGACTGAGGAAAAGTGGAAAAAACATTTGATTTTTTTTTTCTTTGGAAATCATGGACACTGCATCCTACATTCCACAGAGGGGAAGGACCCTCTGACTTTTTCTCAACAGTCAGTTCAAAAGCCAGCATCCCTGATGGTATGGGGAGGCAGTGTCCATGACATTGTAAGTTTGGCACCAGTAAGACGTAAAGCCCCTGTTGCTTTTTTTTCCTTCCCCTGATCACCTTTGACCTCTGCAGACTAGGAGCACCCCCCAAGAGCTGCAGTTTTGAGGATTTTCTGACCCAAACAGCAAAACCTAATAGGTTAGTCCTTGCTAAAATTGCACTTATCCTGCTTCTAGCACGTCAACTTCAAGACATTTAATGAAGTGTATACTGTTACCAAATGTCTCTCTCACTTAAAGGTGCCGTTGTGAGGAGAGAACCTGTGTTATTCACTTCACCTGTTTGTCAATGATGCCATGGCTGATCAATGTTATCATGAAAGTAAACTGTGTATTTTGTCTAAAAGCTCAAATCTTTTAAGTACAATGAATCTGGGAAAATTCAAATGAATCGATTTAAAAATATAAATTAAACATATCTGTTAAGTTGTAGTTCCAAAGTCAAAAACAGCTGCAAGAAATTGGCTTACATGCTTCAAAGTCTATTTCTGCCTGCTGTAGATCATTATTATCACCTTCTCTTAGTATGATACAAATCACATCCTGATTGCAACTAAATATAGAGCGTCTACTCTGTGCATGGATTCTTAAACTCTCCTGTTTGGCTCTGCAGCCGTTTCTGTACTCCACAGAGACCCTTCTCAGCACTCCGTCAGGCTGTCGAAGGCTGCCATCACTGATTAAAGATATGTGGTTTGAAACTTGTGATCATCATGTTACGTTGTCGCCACAGACATGGGGCCATTGCATGTTTAGGATCTTTTACATCCCAGGACAGTGCAAAGTAGTCTTGAAGGCGCCAGACAGAATCCATAACCCAACTTCCCATCCCATCGGGACACGAGTGAAGCCCGCGTGATCTCATGGGAATAGAGTTACAGAGCTGTGTGGATCTGACCAACAGCTCTGTGAGGGCTGTGTGCTCTGCACTCATTTGCCAAACATTTTGAGATCAATTTTAGGGAGATGCATCAGGCGGTTTCAGCTGTCTGCTCTGGAGTATCAGTGAGAGGAGTGTGATTACCCTCAACGATTAATAATACAGAGGTATTCAGATTGTCCCGTTATGATGTGCAATGGAAAATGAAGCCAAGGGTATTAATTCCAAAGTAAAGTGGAAGAAATATTAACTGCGACTGATGATTGATCCCACCCCCACATCGTGGAAAGATCATCATGTGCGATGAAGCCAGTTTTTCCAGAAGATTATCTGCTTATTCCTGACAGAACTTGAAGTTATAATGTGTTTAACTTGATACAAAACAGGAAACAGTGTAGATTCTGCACCAAACATGGTCAGACCAGAGGATTGTTCAGTCTCTCCTGAACAGGTAAATCTCAGATTTGATACATGTTGTCAGCTCAAACACTTTGCTACTTCAAAGGTAAAAAAGG